GTGATCACCACATGCTCTGAGCCCTCATTGCTCATGTCCTCCCCTGCCAGCTCTCTGCTCCCTCCCCAGGCACTGGGTGTTTCCCACTTCCAATGTGGGCTGAACAGTCCTTCTCTTCCCCAGGAGCAGTTTAAGGTGGATCGGGAGGGAGGTTTGAACAACGTGAGGTACCGAATCGAATCACGGACCGATCTGAGCGTGGCAGGAGCCCCTTGCACCGTCCTTAATATCTTGCTGGACTGTGACACAAATGAGACCCCCTGGTGCACGTTTGGCTGAGCCCATCCCCGTGTGTCAGTCGTGTGCGCTGTGCTGGTGCCAAGACTCCGAGGCTACCATAGAGCTGCTTGGAGTAGGCAAGATTTTGGCAGCGGATGACTATGGCAGTGCTGGTGAGACATGGAGGAACAGACGAGGCTGAGAACTGGGTTTTGCTGGGACCAACAGAAGAGGCTGAGAATGGGACTCGGTGGTGTTGCTGCTGGTGCTGGTGCTGCCTCCCAGGGCAGGCACAGGAGGAGGTTTTCCTGTGCTGGACATGCCTGAGCTGCCACTCAGCTCAGAGGACAATAAAGACCTGTCAGGGCAGTTGTGAGTTGTGAATGCCCTGGGTTGTGCTGTACCACTCTGTTTTCCTGCTTTCTTTACCTCCCTGGCTTCACTGGTTTGGCCCTGGGGGTGCTCTGTGTGACAGGCTGGGCGCTGCTCTGGTTCGGAGGCCAAGCCAGTCTGAAATGGGCTCTGAGATGGTGCCTGTTCCAGCTGCCAGGTACCCCCAGGGCTGGGCTGTGGTCACTCCACTGCAGGAAGTGGTTTTGGTTAAGCTGTGCCCTGAGCCCCAGGATCCACAGCCCTGCTGGATGTCAGCAGTTGTAGGCCAGGACCTCTCTTTGGAGTAAGGAGAAGAGTTCTGGCTTGAGCTGCTCCTCTCCTTGTCTGCCCTCTGTGGAATATGCTGCCTCAGCTTGTCTGAGGGGGTTGGAGAACTGGATGTCTCCCCAGAAGTGCTGAGGGGAACTGGGATCTGCTCTAGTCCTGCATTCCCTGTCCTGGGAAGGACTGGCTGCCAGGCTCACTGCAGTGCTGGTGGAACTGGGGGAATGGTGTGGGTGAAGTGTGGGAATTGGGACAGTCACCCCTAACTCACCTGAGCTGAGAGTAACAAGAGCTGCTGTGGGCAAGGCAGAGGCTGGGGTGTACCTGTTGAAGGTGGGAACAGGGGGGTTTGATGAGGGAAGGGCAAGTCTGGGGGTGAAACAGGCTGCAGCTCCCACCTGCTCACTCCAGCCACCTGGCACTGTCTCACTGCCAGGACAGTTTCTCCTATGTCATGGCAGGACAAGGACCTGGGTGGGGAAGTTGGGAAGGTCCCAGTGGGTGAGAAGGGATGCTGGGGGCTGCTGGTTGTTAAGGTTTAGTAGAAATCAGCCACACCAGCAGCTTCTTCTGAGAACTGGGTTGTGTAGAGCTGGGCAGGAGGGACCCTCAGGACCCAGCTGTTGAGACCCAGGTGGGAGCAGTGGCTGTGGAACAGCACCTGGTCCATGCCGGCTCATGCTGGGAGTGAACCGGCACTGTGACCTCTGGGATGCTGCCGCTCACCCTCATCTGCTGAAGGTGGCAAATGCCTGATGACTCTCAAGGGAGACCTCTGCCAACACTGGGCTCCTCTCCTCCATCACCAGCCTGTCCTGGCCATGGCCTTGGGCTGCTGTGTGGATGGAGCTGTGCCACTTCAGAGTGGAGGGTGCTCAGGCTGCCTCACAGATGGTGCCATGTGTAGGCCTGCACCAAGCTGACTCTGGGGTTTTGGCACATGTTTTGGGTACTGTTGCCTCCTCAAGCTGGGTAAACCCCATTGAACAGCCAGTACCCCTCTGTTCAGCCCCGTCACCAGCATTGGCACCAGGCCCTCCACATTTCCTGGCCCGTTCTGTCCTCGTCCCCTGCCTGGCACTTCCCAGAGTGGTCTCTTTGCATCCCAGACAGAAGCTGTTGCCATCCTGGGAAGATGAGCAGCTCTGGGGAGGAGTGCTGGGATGAGGGAGACAGAAGCATCAGAGCCAAGTGAGGGGGTCGTGTACCATGTAGGAATGGGGTGTCTGGAGAGATCTGGTGCCATCTGCTCTCTGTGCTGCTCTGGAGCTGGAAGAGGAGTCTGGTGCCCTCAGATGGAGTGTGAGGGGGGCTGTCTCCAAGGCAGGGGTCGTGGTGGCTGTGCAGGGTGGTGAGGATGAGGCTGTGCTGCTTTGCATCATGGAAGGGGCAGGCCCAGCCTTGAGGTGTGAGGTTGTGCTGCCCAGGAGTTCCCATTGGCCTCTCCAGCCCAGTGGCCCCAAAGCAGCACTGATAGCTGGCATGAAGATTGCTGGTTGGCTTGGACACCCAGTGCACTCCTCTAGAGGACCACTCATGTCCCTCGCTGTGGGCAGCCAGAGGGAGATGTCAGCCTAGCAGCCCCACTCCTGTCTCTCCATGGTGCGGGTTTTGGGATTGGCCACCTGTATTCCAGCCACTTCCTGGTGCCTGAACTGCAGCCAGGGCTGGCAGAGGCAGATCAAAGTATTTCTCTACACCGTTCAAAATAGATGACACAATTTCGGGCAGGTTTCATGGAGACGTAGCTGTGCAGAAACAGAGCATATGTGCACCTCACACTTCGCTCAGCACTACAGGCTCCTCTCCCGCTGCCTGGCAGCTATTTCTCAGCTCTGCTCGCAGCCCCCTCACCCTCCAGTTGCTTTTGTGGAAGAGGCGCCATGCCGGAGACCCGACTTCCTTTTATAGCCCTGAATGTGACTCGGAGGTCGCTCAGCTCCGCTCCCCCCACGCACTTCGATATCAGCAATAGCCCAGTGGGAAGGGATGAATTTTTTCCCTGTTGCCTTCCTGCAGATGGATAACACTCTGCCTGCTGTCCCAGGAATCCTGCAGAGCTGAGCAAGAGGCCTCCCAGCGTTCTCAGGCTCTCAGCAACCCTGAGGAGAGCATCAAAATGCTCAGGGGCAGAGAGGGTCCCTGGAGTCCCAGCCCTGCCCCTCTGTGAACCCCCTTCTGAGGTCCCAATTGCTGCCAGTGAGGCTGTGTGGGGGCTGCTGCAGGCACAGCAATCAAAGGCTTTTATTGCTGGGTTGTTCTAAACCGGATGGTTCTGGAGCTGTTTGCTGGTAAAAAACGTGAAATTGCTTTAGTATCATGGTGGGGAGGATTGGGGGGTAAAGTGGGCAGAGAGTGGAGACTGGGGAAATACTGATGGGAGGCAGGAGCATTTCTGCCCAGAGAAGGGGGCATGGAGTGTCCCGGGCAGTGTGGGAACTGCTATCCCAGGGAGACGAGCTCGGGGCACGGTGGAGCAGGAAACGGGGCAGACGGAAGGAGGGGTGTGGCTGTGACCAGCACCCATTGCAGTCAGCCTGGCATCACTGGAACCTGCCCGGTCCAAGCCCCGTGGGATTATGCCTGTCCCTGTGGGCTGTCGGGGGGCCCCGTTCATGGCTGAACTCCAGACAGAAAGCTAGGGCATTGCAGACACATTCCTGGTGCCAGCAGGGTGGGAAATGGCAATGTTGGGAAGGGCCCCCCTATTCAGAGGACACATATGCTGCCGCTCCGGCGTGCGGTGGGGAACAGGGGGCCGGAGGGAGCGGAGCGTGCCTTGGCAGCGCACCGAGGACACTGCCAGCATGTGAGCCCGGGGAGCAGGGACCGGGGACGGTGTGTGTGTGTGTGGGAGAGCACTGGCAGCACAGCTTGAGGACTCGGGTGTGCGGGGGGAGTAGGGGGGGAGCTGGCAGCGAGCGGGGCCCCGGAGTGCGAGAGTGCTGGGTGCGTGCGTCCCCCAGGCTGGGGACGGTGCGGATGCGATCCCTCCCTGGGGACAGACGGGCACCGCGCCGTGGGGACGGAGCAGGGCTGCCGCAGGTGTCCTGCTCCACGAGGAGGCCGGGACGCCGGTGACCAGGTCCAGCCCGTGGCGGGATCCCCGCTCCCTGCGGCTGCCACACTGCAGTGAGCGGCAAGTGACAAAACCGGCTCCGGGCCAGGCCGTGGCAGCGCTGATTCACAGGGATGGAGCGTGTCGCGTCTCGCTGGCGCCAGGCCAGGCGCTGGGGCAGGTGGGGGTACACACCATGTCCCCTGGGGCTTTGTGGGGCTCCTGCCCACCCGTGGGTGCTGTGAGGGGGAGGCACGGGGTTGTCCTGCAAGAGGAGGGTGCAGGGATTGTCCCACGGTGCTGAGGCCCCTCTCCACTCCACAGGTACGAAGCAAAATATTTCTCTCCACCCTCGCCGGGCGATACTCGGGGACATCAGCCCCGCGCTACGGTGAGGGCCACCGGGGGCCGACTGGGCGCCGCTGCTGAGCCCGGAGCTGTAGCTCGGGGGGGGTTTGCGGGGATCTCCCCGCGCTTTCGTGGGAGGGGGGGGGTTTGCGCAAGGAGCTCTCGGCGCCGCACGCAGCCAGCCCGCCCTGCCCCGCCCCGCTGGTGGGCACGGCCGGGCCGCCCCCCTCCTTCCTCCTTCCTCCTCCTCTTTCCTCCTCCTCCTCCTCCTTCCCGCCCCTCCCGTCCCACCGCCCCCGCGCCGCGATTTGCCGGTGCCGGCCCCGCCCGCCGCCCCGCGCGGCCGCGGCCGAGGGGCGCGTTCAAACGCGGCGAGGGAAGGAGCGCGGAGCGGAGCCGTGCGGGACCGCAGCGCCGCCGGCATGGTGAGTGCGGGGCCGGGGGGCTCCCGGGGCGCCCCATCCCCCTTCCCCGGTGTGCTCCGGCGTGCGGGCTTTGTCCCGGGCTCGGCCCCGGGGACCGACCGCCCCCTCCGCCTTGCCCGTGCCGGAAATTCCGGCGGGGCTGCGGGAGGCGCAGGGGGGGCTGTGCGGGAACCCGCGCTCGCCTCCCCGTAGCACCCCCTGCGCCTCCGCGCAGCCCCGCCGTGCTCTCCCGCGTGGAGTGGGAAGGGGAGAGGATTTGTGGCCGTATCTTGCCCGGGCACGGCCAGGGTTGGGAACAGATCCCGAAGGAGCCAGGCTGGCCGGACCGGTGTTTTGCCGCCTGGAGGGTGATCCCCTCCCTGCCGCAGGCAGGACACCTTCGGGTTCCCCCGGCGTTTCCCAAAGCTCCCACAACCTGACCTACTTCCTCGGCCGCCTGTGCCGGGAGGAGCCGGTGCGGGGCTCGGCCAAGCTGCTCCCCAATGCCGGGGGCTGCATGAGCATCCACTCCTCTGCCGCACCACCATGGGAACATCCATGTCCCCCATCCCTGTGCACGCCCCGTGGCACCGCAGGCATGCCAGATCCTTCCAGAGGATCTGGTGCCCTTCGTGGGGTGCCGATGCCCGGAGCAGGTGCTGGGCTCGCAGAGGGAGGTGACAGCGCAGGCCGGGAGCTGTCAGACAGGTTTGTGCGTGGCAGCAATTAAAAGCCGGGTGTTTGTTTACGCGGCGCGTGGTGCTGAGAACCAGGGCAGCTTCCTGGGTGTAACCCGGCCCTGGAGCCCTCGGCAAGGCTGGAAGCCGTGCTGGGGGCTCTGCCTCGCCCCTGCCACGCTTGCTGTGTCCCCTGCACTGGTGTGAGGACATTGTCCCTCTCACTAGTGCTGGGGAGCCAGAGCTAAGGCCGAAGACATCCTCTCATCCTTCCTCCCCCGGCCACCTGCGCAGGAAGCTGCATTGTCCCGTCAGCATCCTGCCCCTTCCCACCGCCCTCACGCCATGTCCGGCCACGGGGTCCCCAGCACGCACACAGCTGCTGGGCTGTGGCTGCCTCATCCCTGCCTGGTGCTGGAGTGGAAATGCCTGTGGATGGAGCGGGTCCGTGTGCAGCTTGCCCTGTGAGGTGCAGGAGCCCATGCCGTGAGGGAAGCGTCCCCGTGGTGGTGGAGAGGTGCCTGTCACCTGCACACCGTGGGGAGGGCAAGCTGATGGGCATCCCCAGGGCCGTTCTGGGGAGTTCTCCAGAGGGTGTCCGGACCCAGAGGTCCTGGCAGGGTGGGTGGGTGCTGCGGGGCTGGGGCTGGCGCCAGGCCCAGGCAGGCGCTGCCGGCTCCCGAACTCGCCCGCCTGGCTGGGCGGCAGGTGCCTGTTCTGGTGGCAGCCCCGGCCGCGGGCGGGAGGTGGGGCTGGGTGTGGGAGGGAGGCGCTGCACCGTTGGGGGGGGCAGCAGCAGGGAGCCCCCGCCTTGGTGTGTGCTGTGCCCTGGCACCCCTTCGCTCGGCTCCCCCAGGGAGCTGCATGGGAGATGGTGGGTCTGTCCCAGTGCCAGGAGCCCAGGTGGGTCCTTGGGGCTGGCTAGGAAGGGGGGGTGCCGGGAGTTTCACGGTCCTGATTGCCCGGTGTCACTGACTCTGTCTCTCCCCCAGCAGTGCTGGTACTGGGCTTTTCTCTAATTCTCCATGGCAGCAGCACAGGGTCCTGTGACCTGTGAGCCCGACACCCGTGTCCTCGGCACCTACCTCTCCTCGGAGCCTGTCGGCGTCGTTGGCAGCATGGGCAGCGTGGGCAGCCTAGTGGAGAAGCAGGATCTGTCCCCTCTGGAGCTGCGGGCCCCGCTGGGGGGCTCACGGGGGCTTCGGCAGCCCGACGGCTTGTTGCGGAAGGGGCCGAGCCAGCGGGAGCTCTTCGGGTACCTGCACGGGGCCAAGAAGGAGATGCGGTCGGAGCGGAAGCACCAGACGTCAGGCGCCTGCTACAAGAGGGACTACGAGAGTGACCGCGAGAACCGATCCCCCGAGCGCTGCTCCCGGGAGCATCACCGTGGGGCTGACTTCTCCAAGAGCTCCCTGCCAGAGCGGGGCCGCTTTGACAAGGTGAGGCTGTGGGCACTGTGCAGGATTCTGGAATAAGTCCTGGTCTATGAGAGGATGGGGTGGAGCAGAACAGTCCATGCCCCCCTGAATGGGATGTGGGGATTTGAACCCCCTGGCTGTGGGGGCTGTTGGGCTTATGCTGACTCTGCTCTTGTTTTTCAGTGCCGTATCAGGCCCTCGGCCTTCAAGGCGGTGGCTGGGAAGGGGCTGGTCTCCATGCAGGGCCTGTCCTCGTCCAAGGGGCAGAAGTTGTCCAAGAGCAACGGGAGCCTGCACACGCTGCTGTCACAGAGCAGCACAGCAGCCCCACAGCACGGCCCGCTCCGCACCCACCTGCTCCACGCCATCAGCCTGGATGAGGCCTCCGACTCCAGTCACAACTCCATCCAGAGCTTCCCATCATACGGCTCCCGCCTCAAACCTGCCCAGAGCCAGTTCAGCGCCTCCATGGGCCACATCAACCACATTGGAGGCTCCTTGGACAGGGTCTCCCGGAGCCCCAGGGACCCGCTGGCCCCTGAGAAGGTGCCCCTGTCCTGCAAAAGCATGGCCACGCTGAGCCGGCTGCAGAGCCCCGGCGAGCCCCCGCCACCCTATGAGTTCTCCTACTCGCTGGAGGACGCGGTGAAGCAGCTGGAGGATCGGCTGCAGGAGACAGGAGGAGAGCTGCGGCAGCTCAAGAGGAGTCTCAGCGAGACTGAAGACCCCTTCACACAGGTGAGCTGTGGGGCTGGGGTGGGGCTGGGGTAGTGCTGGGTGCCCTGGGCAGGGCTGTGGGACAGTGATGTCTGGGTAAAAGGAGCTGCTGTGGTGGGTGATAGGCTGGGAATGCCCAAGCGCAGGAGGACCCAACATCACGGGACCTTCTGGGATCCCTCCCTGGGGCTTTGGACTCTGACCACTGTCCACCTGTGCTGGCAGGTGTTTGAGGACAAGCAGCGGCTGTGGCTGGACGAGCTGGAGGACCTGAAGCAGATGTACATGGCCCGGCTGCAGCAGGTGATGCAGCAGGCGCAGCGCGGGCAGCGGGCGCTGCAGCTGCAGCTCTACAAGGCACAGCAAGAGAAGAAGCGGCTGCAGGAGGAGCTGAGCCTGCAGCAGTGCCAGTGTGAGGAGCCCAAGCTCCGGCAGCCCCAGGGAGAGCGTGGCAGCCCCAAGCTGGAGGAGACCAAGTGGGAGGTGAGTCCCCTTCTTTCCTTCCCTGTTGCCACCCTCCTGGCTGTGGAGCCAGGATGAGCGCAATGGTTCCCTGCTCCAGTGTAACTCGTGGCCACAGGATGGGGGGGATTAGCCAGGTGTGATGTTCATGGTCTCCCAGGAGGACAGTCTGGGGTGCTGCCACCCCTGGGGTCCTGATTCCCCCAGTCCTTCCTCACCGCTTGCCTGTGCCCTACAGGTGTGCCAGAAGGCAGCAGAGATCTCCCTGCTGAAACAGCAGCTCCGGGACACCCAGGAGGAGATGGCTCAGAAGCTGGGTGAGATCTTCAGCCTGAAGACGCAGCTGCGGGAGGCCAAGGCGGAGGTCCAGGCCAAGGACTCCCAACTGGCACAGCTGGCAGACTCCTTCCAGAGTCCCCCAGAGCCCAGCACCTCGATGCCTCTTGGTGATGACCCCATGCCATCGTGCCAGGACTTCCCTGGCTGCGAAACTGATGACTCCAAGTGCCGTGGCCTCCACAGCGACACGGCGGAGCCCCTGGAGCGGCAGGTGGAGTGGCTGTGGGCAGAGCTGCTGCGGGAGCGGCGTCAGGGCCAGCTGCAGGCTGTGAACTTTGAGCTGGAGAGGAAAACCTGGCAGGAGGAGAAGGAGAAGGTGCTGCGGTACCAGCGGGAGCTCCAGGCCAGCTACATGGAGATGTACCACCGGAGCCAGGCGCTGGAGCGGGAGCTGCGACAGCTGCGGTCGGAGCCCAGGGATGTTGGGACTGACTCGCCTTGGATCGAGCGGGTGGAGTCCTCGAAGATCTGAGGGATGGGATGCCAGTGGGACTGTGAAGGGGGAACATCTCTTGCTGCTGCAGCGGGACGATCTCAGGGTGTGCACAAGGACTGGCCACTTGGCACTGCTCTGGGCCGAAGGACTGATTGCAACAGGGGAGCTTTTCCTTCTTGCAGCGCTTCAGGCCCTTCTGGTGGGGGTCTCTGGGGGCCATCTGTGCCAGGGTGGGGGTCTTGCATGTGCCCCGTGCTCTGACTCCAGGAGCATTTGCCCTGTGATTCCTTCTGCCATGGGGGGCAGAAACCAAGCGCCCTGTGAAACATTCCCTGTCCCTCCTGCTCTGCTGCCCCTGTTCCTGCAACCCAGTAACTTAATATCTTGTGAGGAGGGGCTTGAGCCCTGTCACCACCCCACTGCCTTGCTGTGGGGGTTCCACCTGCTGCTCGCAGTGGCCACCTTGTCAGCAAGGCCATGGAGCTGCTGGTGCCACTGGGAAGGCAGAGGAGGAAACCCTGATGAGTGCTGGTACTGCTGGGATGGGGCAGCTGCGCCAGCACCTCTGCTGGGGCTTCCCATGTCCCCAGTGTGGGGCTGCTCTGCAGTGGAGGTGGTTGATGCAGCTTCCCTCGGGCTGAGAGGGGCAAGTGCCTTGTGCAAGGAGGGATGGGAACGGGTGCCCTGCTGCACTGGGAGGAACTGGGGAGGGGAACAGGACATGTGGGCAGGGATGTGTGTGAGCTGGGGAAGAGGCTGGGGTCTCCCCTCCCAAGGTGGGTGAGGGAGAGCTGGGGGAGCCCCAAGGTTCTGGGAGGAAGAAGCCCTGCTCCATGTCTGTAACAGCAGAGCCCCAAACCCCATTCCTGCAATAAACCTGTATTTCTCTCTCCCAGCTTTTGCTTCCCTCAGAGTCTGGGGGATTCCGACTGCGTGGGTGGGGGGGGCTGCAGGCTGGCCTGGGCCTGCCCAGAGCAGGGCCCCGCCCCAGCACAACCGTGCAAGGGTGGGCGGTACAACCAGTCAAGGTATTGAGGTGGGTGAGTCACAGTGGGGCCAGGGGTGGTGCCCCTAGAGCGGTTTAATGCAGCCATGGACCCTCCAGCCTTCCTGCCCTGAGCACCAGGACCATGTTCTACAAACACACAGAGACCTTTATTCACCCCCACAGTGCTCCCCTTCCCCCCCCAGTCAGTGCTCTTGGTGGTGTCCCCACAAATGGCCATGTGGCCCCTGGGCAGGGGCACAGGGACCTGTCACAACCCTGCAGGGCACAGCCAGTCCCCGGTTCTTCACAGTGGCAGTGGAAGAGATGACACCTCCTCCAGACACTCGTCGTAGGCCTCCTGGTACTCCTCGTGGGGCTTGATCATGATGACGCAGGTCGGGCGCTTGGAGCCGGCTGCAGCTCCCAGGTCCTGTGGGAAGAGTGAGACTGTGGGGTGCCAGGTCTCTTCCTGAGGGGAGAGGCTCAGGACCAGCTCACTGCATTCCCTGGTCTAATGCAAGGAATCTCTCTGCCAGCCCATCAACCCAAAGCTCTCTGGACTTGTGCTGGGTTCAAGAGCCCTTTTCTCAGCCCAATTGTGTCCTACAAGCTGGAAGCAAAGGCCTGGGCTGGCACCTGGCACAAGGGGCTGGCACTTGGCTCATGTGCCATGCTTCTTCCCCAGAGCAGGATCTGCAGAGCTGCCTGCATGAGGCTGAAGCTCCAAAGACACCTCCCCTCGCTCCCAATTTCCAGCCCACGAAGAGGGTACTGGTCGCAGCTCACAACTGAGGAGGGAGAAATTCTCCTGGCTGTGTCCCAGAGGGCTCTTGTCCCTGATATCCCCCAGGGCTGCTGAGGGAGTCGATCGTGGCAAACAGTTCTGTGATCTCATAGTGAAACACTCCTACAACTCCCCCATGTCCGTTCTGTGCAAGCACCAGGTTCTTTACCTGGTCACTGCATCTGCACCTCCCCAGGATGGCTCCAGTCACAGCCTGGACTCCTCACAGGGGCTGGTTCGCCCCCAGCACTCACCGATTTGGAAGGGACATAAGCGTAGGGGAGGCTCCTGTCCTCGCACATGATGGGGATGTGGCAGTACACATCGATGGGCAGCGTGTCCCCAGCCAACACCGTGATCCTGCAGGGAGAGCCGTGTCAGTGGCAGGGCTGGACCAGAGGGGCCGCGGGCCGGAGCTGCACTTACCCCTTCTCGCCCTTGTTGATGAACTTCTGCACCTCCTTCACACCGCGGCGGATCTGCTTGTGCTTGGCCGCTGCAAGAGAACCACGAAGTGAGGGGCTGAAAGAGAACCACGGAGTGACGGAGGGGAGTGAGGGGCTGGAGAGAACCACGGAGTGAGGGAGGGGAGTGAGGGGATGGAGAGAACCACAGAGCGAGGAGCTGCACCACGCCATCGCCATGCCTCAGCCCGGCCCCGCCTCCGCCATATCCCGGCGCCGCCAGACCTTTCCTGATGCACTTGTAAAGCTTCCGCGTGAGCTTGCGGGACGCGAGGGGCTGCGCGATGGGGTTGAGGAAGTCGAGCTGCTCCCGGTACGAGCGCTCGGGAGCCGCCTCCGCCTCGGCCGCCGCCTCGGGCTTGTCCCGCGCCATGGCCCGCGCCGGCCGCTTCCGCTGCCGGGGCACGCGCCGCGCCGGGGCGGGACATGCGGCTCCCCGCTCCCCGCCAGCCAATTGGCAGCTGCGCTAGCGCTGACAGACAGCCGCGCTGGCCAATGGCAAAGCACCCACTTACCGGTTCCGCACCCCGGCCCCGCCCTCCGTCCCATAGCGCCGGCTCCGATCCCAATCGCAGTTCCAGCCCCGGCTCCAGTCCCAATCCCAGTCGCAGTTCCAGTCCCAGTGCTGGCCCCAGTCTCAATCTCCGTCCCAGGCCCGGCCCCAGTCCCTGTTCGAATTCGAGTTCCAGCCCCAGTCCTGTCTCAATCCCAATCCCAGTTCCAGTCCGAGTCAGACACACCAGGACAAGTTTCAACACGGGCCTTTACTGGGTGTGGTCGGTGCTGGTGACGCTCAGCCCACCCCGAGCCCAGCCCACCACGGGCACGCTCCGGGCCGCTGTGCCCCGGGGTGCGGCCAGCCACCCCCGCGGCTGTGCCCAGCTCATCCACCTGGCCACAAACTGCATTTTCTCCCTTGTTTTTCATCCCAGCGAACTTTTCGCCCTGCAGGGCTACGTTGCTACTTTTCCCAAAGAAAACAGGAGGCTTTTAACATGGTGCCCCTCCAAGAAACCACTTTGATCCTTATCGCAGTGACCCAGCAGCCACCACTGGGGATAACGAGCTCTGCCCAAGGCCACGGCAGCACATCCCCCGAGCCCAGCACATCCTGAGCCACAGAGACAGCACTGCTCAAAACGAAAGTGGCCTCAGGCATGGCTTGTTACCTTCTCCCTCACTCCAGCCTGTCCCTGGAGTACAGGAGGGCTTCAGCCAAAACCTGCAGCTGCTCCATGACCTCTCGCTGCATCTCCACAGCGATGTGGAACACGTGGTGGTCACAGCTGTTGTACATCACTGCGTTCTGGAACATGAGCATGAGGTCACACTGGAACTGGATCATGGACTGAATGTGTCCCTTTGCCAGCCTTCTCTTTATGCTGGTTAAATCCATGGGTCTAGAAAAGAGAGAGAAGGAGAACTGAATTGCAACCCAGGGGAAGGCATCCTTCGGGCTCTGCATGAATGTGATTATTCTCATTTCAGGGTGGCCCTGAAAGCAGAGCTATTTTCAATCAATTTTATTGCTCAGGACAAAGAGGGAGAGTGAGAAAGGCTTTTCTTCCAAGTCAGACAAAAGTTAAGTTCAGCCAATGCGACATTTGCTGTCCAACCAAGTTGGCAGGTCATTAGCAGTCACCTCTGAAAAAAATGTGATGCTGAGCTCCAGAGAAGGCAAGAGGTAATTAGTCTTCACGAAGTCAGTCCAGGTCTTAGTGGAAAAAGAAAAGTTACTAAAATAGGTTCTATTAAATCCCCTTAAAATCGAATGGTGCCACCAGCAAAAATAGCAGTGCTGGTAAGGGGAACACGATGGGGAATAAATATTACTTCCCTTATTTTGACAGAATGGGAAAATGAATGGCTGCAGAAAGGACAACTGTGACCAGAATAGAACATGATTCAGCTCTGAAAAATGCCCTTAATCTCTCTGGGAAATATTGTTATGACCCACTTCTGTGCTGAGAGTGAAACATCTGGGGCGCATGCAGTGGGTGAGGAGGGGGCATTGCCTGAGGCACATCCCAGCATGAGGAGAAGGGACTGCTGAGCTGCAAGGAGCTAGATCCCCTGCCCAGGGACTGTGCCTGGGCTAAGCCATGCAATGCCTGCAAAGGGCAGGCACAATTCCCACCAGGTCCAAAGTTAGTGCAAGCTTCCACGTTCTAATTACCCAGAAGGGAGTTTTAATAAAAGAAATCAGTGGGAAATGCTGGTGACAGCCAAACTCTGGAAAAGGAGGAAGGAAACCATCTCACTGGGCCTTTGGAAACCAAAAACAACAGAAAAGAACCAGAGAGAAATCAACTAGTGAGCATTTCCTCCACAAACTCACCTCTTTACCACATCCCTGTATCCAGGGGCTTGTTTCTCTGACACTGGCTTCAGGAATGGGCTGCTGTATCTACAGGGACAAGGACAAAGAATGTTCTGTGCCTGCCTCTGTGCCAAAGGCAGCACTGGGACATGAAGCAGTGCTTCTCTGTCCCTGCCTGCCATGAGGGCCACAGACAGTGCTGTGCCAGCTGTGTAGGAAGCAGCACTTGGGCTCTGCCACATTAAGCAGAGGAAATAAATATGCAGTGTTCTCTCCAGCTCTGCAGCACACAACTGTTCCTAAAGCAAAGCCCTGGAGAGACAGCCCAGCCTCTGGGGAGGGGAGGACAAGGCCTGATGACACAGGAGCTGGGACTCAGGGCAGTGTGTTCAGGACATGTTGATCCAGCCCTCTGCTCTCACATACCTGTGACTGGCTATCATCCTCCAGATGGTCAGGAGTGTTTTCTTGAGGAGCAAATGCTGGAGGGGGTTATTCCAGCTTGGCTGCACCCTGTGGAGTGAAGGCATTGCCAGATTATCACACTTGAGACAAAGTGGGAGGTGGCAATTCTGCTGGCATCCACCACATCCACAACCTTGGAGTGTGATGGTGGGAGCGTCCTCTATGGGAACACACAAGTAAACATCCAGAATGCAGGAAGATGCAGGGCAATCGGTAAAAACAAGAGCTGAGCTGAAGGGCAGGATCAAACTGGATAGAAAACCACATGCTACTCTGCAGTTTAGAACTTTACTGAGGTGGTTTTATGAAGTTTCTCATCCCAACCCCCCATGTCTTTCCTTTGAAAGGCAGCCCAGATGATCACGCGTGGCAGAGCCTGCATGTGACAGATATACCTGCACCTGCTTAAAGGGGGTTGGTAATACCTCCCTCAGGAGCTGGACTGTGCTTTACCTGACAGAACGTGATGCCCAGCCTATCTGCCTTGAGGAAATGCATATTTTCCATTTAATCTCTACTCTTCTCAATTCACCTTAGGATCAATGCCTCAAAATGCTGGCAGATCCACAGAGATAGCGCAATTTCCCTCCTGTTCTCCTTGGCTATCTCACCTTCCTGGATGTGACCTGTGCCATACGCTTGTTCTCATGTGTGACAAGGGAAACGACTCTGTTCTGCTGCACCTGCAAGACAGAACCAGCTACTTACAGGTGTGTGTTGGGAGGGCTTGTGGAGTCCAGCACCGGGGCTGCAGAGGTGCTGCCACTGTCGTCTTGGTCCTGGGCTTGAGCACTCATCTCCTGTGCATCCTGCTCACCTGCTGGTTCTCCAGGTGACTCTGGAGTCTTGTCCTGAGGAGCACAGAGGAGTAGACATCTAAAATGGCAGCCTGAGATAAAGGACCTGAGTCCTTTACCTAGAAGCCAGCCTGCTGCACATCCCTTTACTGCATCCAGGCTCAGCTGGGAGCTCACTTGCTCTCTGTTATTCTGAGGATGATGTTTGACCTTACTCAGACCTTCCCTGTGCTGCTCAGCGCTCAGTAACAGCTGGGTCTGATCTCTTGGATCCTATCCACCTCTGGTTAACACAAACTCTGTGGAGCTGCCCAGTGTTGTGTCTGTCTGCTCTCTGGGAAGAGTCATGGATGTAGAGAGGGCAATCAGCAGCTGAGGTAAGACTGCCTCAGGCTAGTTAAAGCTCGAGATACAGATAACAGGATCCCCTAGAGCACAACAAGGTTGTTTCCCCAGAAACTCCCACATGAATATGACAGGGAATAGACTCATCCAGGAAGAAGAGTGGTGCTGTTGTACTAATTTGCCAATAAAATGTAGAGTGGCAGGAGAGGGAAGCTTTTTGAAGTCCAGATGTGGGATTATGTGCAGGGGCACCTCAGAATCCTCAACAGATCTGAAGCATGGGCAGACTTCTCAGGAAGAAACTGGACACTGTGCTGTGTTTGGTTTTGACCACTGGCAGAACTACGAGGGAACTGCTGTTAATAACAGCAGTTAAGAACAGAGTAACTTCTGAGAATAACACTGTTCTGTCTGAACAGGTGAAAAACCTGAAAGTTAGTTACTTGACTCCAGTGTCCAAGTTTTCAAGGGAACAAGTGTGAGTGTGGAAAAATGACACCGTTCTTCCACTGCTACGTTACCTGTCCCAGGAATGCCTCGCAGGCTGGTGGAAGACCACAGCCCCCTAGACACAGGACTGATGCAAACCCAGGCTAAACAGTGCCTGCTTCCAAGACATGACGGTCCCCAGGGGCAGATGGTTATTGCTGGCACAGCCACATGGGCCTGAAACCAGCCAAGCTGTGCTGCAAAACACAGCAATTAGAACAAGGCAAGTATTCCAGTCTTGCCTTAAACCTGAGAGCAGCCTGCCAGCTCTCATGAGTCACCTTTACACTGCCAAGGAGCAATTCCTCCAACTCACATCTGAGGGTTTGATCTGTAAAAAGCTTCCTGTTTATAAAGATACACAGCCATACATAAAAAACACCCTTCCCTCCTATATTTCTCCTGTGTTCCCCTCCCTGCTGTCTCCTCCTGTGTGTCCCTGCCTCCCTGGGACTCCCCCATCTCTTCTAGAGCTAGTTTCCTTCACTGTCTCTTGTCTCTCATCCAGGACCAAAGGCTCTTTTAGGACCACCACTACCCTACCCCTCTTCCCAAGAAGTGTTCTTTCTCATCTTCTGCCAGAATGTGTAGTTGACTTCTCTCTGCTCCCAAGACTGCTGTTCCTCTGGTCTTTTCCTGGCACCTCACATCTTCCCCATCACTCTGCTTCCCTAAGCCACAATAATCCCACTGAGTCTGTGATGACTCTGTGCTGCCAGTGCAGAGAGATTCCAGCATCTGGGTTACCTGCAACACAGTGATTTATTACTTCAAATTGTGAAGGTAAAAGGGAGAAGAAATAAACAGCACAGATGCTATTTTTGCATTCACTCATGAACGCCTTTCCATTTTTAGGAATCCTTGCAAAGCTTCTGATGAAGCCCTATGTTATTATTACAGTGTCAGTTCACTGACATTTCTGTGCTTTAGGGTGAGCTGTGTTTTGGCAAAACAGCTCCCTTGTTGCAGTGCCAGCTCCAAATGGGAGGAAGGGCTGGGATTGGGCCAGGGAGCGAGTGAACCCAGGGCATCTGCTGTGCCCCTAGATTGTTTCTGTGTGTAGGGATGGTGGAGGCCCTGAAAAACTCCAATGTTTCAAGAGGGTCTGAACTATGCTGCCCACCTTCCTGTCATCCAAACAGCCCTACCTCGAAAAGGAACTGGAGAAGACTGTTGCTTTCATATGGCTTTTCTGCCTCTTGGTAATCTTCACTATCATTCTCCCAGAGAGGCTCACTCAACTTCAGCTCACAGTCTGCCTCTTGGGTGCTCTCCTCTACCTTCCCCACAGCCATGTCTTCAGTATTTCTCCAGCTCCTTGTGTCCAGATCCAAGCTTGAATCCCAGTTGGGAAGAGGCTGGAAGCCACTATTCTGTGACTCCCAGGATTGGCCCATCTGCAAACAATAAAAAGAGAAAGCAATTTATTTGTACCCAGATCCAGAACTGCCAAGCCCAGCTTGTTTCGTGACACACTCTGAGAGCCCCAGCACAGGAAGGACTCTGAGGTGAGCAGTCTATACCTGCTCAGTCTATACCTGAGCCCTACACACAGCATGTGGCAGGGCTGCAGCTCTGCAACACAAACTGCTGCTTCAGAGCAACTGCATTACAGGTTTTCTGGTGCTTTTGCTGTGCCCTTCCCCTGCCCAGGGGTTGGGGGGTCACTGTGCTCAGGGCTTGCTGAGCTGGCTAGAAGCACGTGGCTTTGCTGGATGCTCCATGTTTAAGGTGCTGAAGGCACCAGCAAAGTCAATCTGAGTCCTGATGGGGCTCTTCAGCTGCTGACTGTTGTGAACAACTCGTGACTCCAAGGACAACTCACTGAAATCCCTTTGCTGCCCCCTGAGAACCTTTTATACTGGAAATAACTTATTACAAAGCTTACAGACACTTTGTTTTTAAAGTGACAGGTGTGATTTAGCTGGATGGTGATATCTCATCTACCTGAGTCAGAAGAATTATAACCCTGCACAGATACGCACTGACAGAGGACAGTTCTACATATTTCAGAAAATAAAAATTAGCAATCTCTTAAGAAGGGAGAAACCATTAATTTCATCTCTGTTCATTAGTCCATGCCTAAGTATCTTCTACTGCAGTAGTCCACTAAGATTTCTTTAAGCCTGGGGAATTGCTTGCAGAGTCACAGTAACAGTAAGTGATGTTAGAAAATCTGTATCTTGCCCCTGAATGGAGCTGTGTGGATGCTGCACCTATGGAGGATTCTATGCATTAATTAACAGTGTCTTTACAGTTTTCAGTTAATTATGTACAACCTAATTTTTTCAGAGTTTTGAACAAGAACATTTCTCACTGACTGCCTTTTGCACTCTCAGGACTGCTAGCACAGCTCCAAGTACAGCTTATGGTGCCTAATTGAGAGAAATAAAGAATCCACTGGGTTTGGGGATGAGAAAACTGGTTTGCTTATTTCCTGAACTTGCCAGCACAGTTAGGATCTGAAAGCCTGTCCTTCCAAAAGGACTCTTTCAAAGTTAACTTCAGTGGAAGCAGAAGAAATTTGATGAGGTAAGAGATAACATTACCTTCTCTCAGCTTCCAGAGTTGGTGTTGGGCAAGGAGTTGGGCAAAGTGAGATTTCATCTGAAGAGGAACCCTGTGCCTAAAGCACTGTCCTGCACCCTCAGCAGAGCTGGGCACACACAGAACCAGCCACTGCAGCTCAGCTGAGGAACAGAAAACCCTTATCCAGGGTAATCTGATCCCTTGTGATCATCTTTCTGTACTCCAGTTGAGAGGGTTTAAAACCAGAAAGCCCAGGGAACTTGGGCATAAGCATTGATTAAAGAGATCTTCAGCCTTATGTTCAGTTTTCCCAAACCTAGGAAGACTCAAGATGCCAGAAAGCAGAACAGGGGCTTTAGTGCAAGACATGATGAGGGAAATAATCCCAGGCTGCTCCGCTCCACACCAATTCTGGACCAAATGATACAGACTTCAAATTTTAATTAAGAACTGCCTGACAGTTCTTAATAATGTTGGCCACATAAGTCACCAGCAAGGAACCTTTCTCAAATTGGAAAGTTTTAGTTCGCTTTGCAGAGATCAGACACTGTGCAACCCTTGGTGATTTGAGAAAAGGCTTTTAGAAATCAAGAAGGCAGTCTTTAAAAAGAACTTACATGTCAAAACAAGAAAAATGATAAAAGCCTGAACTCTAATAAATGAAATCTAGAATCCACATAAAGTAGGTAAAAAAAAAAAAAGGAAAATGAAAAACAGAACAATTTGCTAAAGACATAAAATAAAAACAACAAACCCCATCAAAAACATCAGAAGCAGAGAACTGACAGATGATCAGTGGCGATGACGCATGATCAGTGCCAAACATCTCAGTGGAAAATAGGGCCAGTTGGAAAAACCAAATTAATCATCATTATCAGCAGTGCCACAGAGGAGATCACATGAGACCTTCTCTTGGGATGGGTCTGAGAGACGGTTTCTAATTAAAATGTCAACAGGGGAGGTTTTAGAACAATTTAAGGGAGTGGGTAAACCTTAGAACCCATTGGGATTCACTTGTGAGTCGTAAAGAAGCTTAAATATAATGTGACCAATCCTACGCTGTGTAACCTGTCATTTAAATTTAAGAAGAAAACCAGAAAGGAGTGATTGTTTTATCTGTCTGTAAAAGGGGGGGTGTTGGGAGATAAAGCACAGTAAAACATCAGCTCTGTACCAGACAGATTAGAACAAAGTATTAGGAAGAACAGAATTAGTAGTCAGAGCATGAGATGATGAACTGGGAAAGAAGCAATGGGGCTCTGTAGAGAAAATCATATCTTAAGAGTTTTAAAGCTCTTAGACTATTAAAAGGTCATGGGACAAGGAAAAAGGCTGAGAGAAAAATACCTGTTTAAGAGAAGAAACCAAGGGTAGGAAGGACAATTAACCGGTAACCAAACCAAACGATTTTCAGCATTTCCACATAGTTCTTGGTGAAAATACACCTCAGTGATACATGGAACTCAAAACAGCAGGCACAGCCAACTTCAACAGTAAACTTGTGAAAATAAAGAGCTCTTACTAGGCCAGTAAGAGCTGGTCTTAATGCCTCTGGTCTTAATCCCAGTGACTCAGTTTCCTGAAACCTGTGTAACAGAAAGCTGCACCCTGTACATGCTGCAGAGTGTATAACACTCCCAGCTGCCGCAAAGCATCAAGGATGATACTATTTTGTTCGTGGTTCTTTTTCCCCATGGAAGGTTGTGGGGGCAGAAAACACTCAAGTTTCCTCTCACAGGTTGTATGAGCAGAAAAGAAGGTGGCAACTTGGAAATTCTCACAGAGAACTTCAACCTCCATGTTGCTTAGGAAAAGGACTGTAATTTCCAGTATAAACTGCATAAACTCAGATGTGAAACCAGGTACTGGCAATCCTGCCTGCAGCTGCTGGGATCACAGACTTTCACTCTCACTAGTGTAGCCTTCACAGATCTCCGGGGAAAGAATGTACAGTACTTTTCATTGCGTTTTCTCCTAAGGGAAGCTCCAACAAGACTGTGTTATTTAACTTCTCATGGTTAGATTTCCTGTATCATCACAGTGGTGCTGTATCCTCACTCACTCATGCGGAGAATCTTCCTCTCCATCCAAGCATTATGGAACATTCCCGTGATTAATGGATAGTCTGTAAGGCCAAAGCTCTGCCATGTGTGTGTTGGTCTATGGACAACTGGAAGAGAATTATAGCTGCAGATATTCAAGGCGGGTACACAGGCTTGTTCCACAGGGTTGCTCCCTGCAGAGCTGTGATGCTCAGTACACTGCACACCGGTTTGTTCCCAGATTTTAATATACATCACATTTACACATCACTAGTAAAAATCTGTACACTTCACAATACAGTACATACGAGCCACCAGTTGCTAGCTAACACCAGAACACTGATGAAGCCCAAGACAACTGCCTTAAAACAGGCAGGGGGGCTAGTCTTCCCCTCTGGGGAAGTTTCTTTGGGATACATATTCCAACGAGACACTGCTTTCCAGAGGGGCAAGTGAAGAAGGTGAACCGGGTCCCAGCAATGGACCTGCAGCTTTTCTTCCTCCTCCAACAGCTGTTAAGAGCAGCCTGCTTGCACTCCAGCTCCAGATGCCAGGTGCTGGGATTCAGCTGGGATTCTCTGTGTGCCTGTAGCATCATTTCTTCATCTTCAGGTCTGCCTCGATGGCGCAGCGCCGCCCTCTGGTGCCTCCGTCCTGCTCACAAGGCAAACAAACACAGTTACACAACCCGACACAAGCGCTCTGCTCTCTCCAGCACAGGGGGAGGGAGGGAATTCTGCATCTGGCAACAACTTTTCTTGCCTTCCAATCAGGAGAAAGGGAAGCTGTCCCTAAGGCGGCCTGGAGAGGCCTGCCTGCAGACCTACCTAAAGATTGCTCTGGACACAGCAGGGTGCTGGGCTTGGCAGCATGTGTGCACTGCTGGAGCCAGGGCAGAGAGAGGCAACATGACTCTTGCCCAGATAGATGCTTTTGGAGCCTGGACAGCACAGGCTTTCTCCTAAATGGCAGATTCTAGCTTAAGGTGGGAAGAGGAAACTGCTTACTAACCTACCTTATCAGCTGCTGATCCCTATGGCAAGTGCTCCTCCAGTTGAGTGTCCCTGGCACTAGCTCCCTAGTTTCTTGGCATAACTCCTTTCCATGAGCAGAAGGCGAGCTGAGAGCTTCCTTTGATGCGCTGCCCTCTCTCTCTGGCTGACATGCTGACTCTCCTGGAGTACTCCTCTGTCTTTAGATACACGTGAGACATAAGAACAACTCTCCAACTTCCTCTCCTCTCTCCTCCCCACAACTCAGAGACTTGGGGTTTCCCAGAGGGAATATTTTTCCAAACACTTCTGGATCACCACAGGCACAGAGCAAGGTATTTTTGCAGAGTGTCTTATTTACTTTCTGGACCAGGAATGATAAAGGAGTACACAGCTGACTCCTCACTCTCCCAAGACCTGTTGTACTGCCTCCGACGTGTGGAAGGGGCAGCTGTATAAACATGAGAGATGTAGGAAATACAGGTCTGCACCACTTGGTTTGTCTTCCCACTTACATGGAAAGAAAGCAGGAGAGAAGTTGTGGAAAAAAAGCAAAAGCAGATGACAAAACGAAAACTCTTGGAACCAAAAGAATAGACTGAAGCCCCTCCCGCTCACCCACGCTGAGAATAAGGGACTGAGATGTTTCTTCTCTAAGGATCACAGTGGTGCAGCCCCCAAGTCAAACACACCCCTTGCAGTGCTAAGGATGCTGTGACAGTGCAGTGATCACCCAGACAAGGAGCAGAGCACCTGCCAGCAGAACCTGCTGGAGCCTTTCAATACTTACAAAGAGAGAGAGAAGGAAGGCAGGAGAGCCCATTGGGACACTGTCCTGTTAAAAGGCCAAACAGAAGGACTTATCAGGCATCAGCTACGGAAATGCACACACCACATAGAAGCACTGAGCCCACACACGAGCATAGAGAAACATGTGCCCCACTCCCCTTCCTGCACGGCATCAGTCTTATGCAGCAGGAACATAAAAACAGACAAAAAGAGGGATACTGCAAGAGTCAGAATGCTAGGAAAGGGATGTTCCCTTCTCAGCCATGGCAAGGTCTGGTCTACCAAACAATTTCTGCAAGGTGCAGTTGCCGCTAGAACTAAGCAGGCAGTCCCTGCTGTCACAGTGTTGTGTGCACCAGCTGAGAGCACCTGAGACCACTTCATCATGTTTGGATGTCTTTACAGAAGAAAAAAACCAAACAAACCTTCACTGCTTAGATCAGTGTGGAATTCAGAGGTTCTCCGGTGTGTTTTACACAGCAAACCAGAGTCAACTGATTCTCTCTCTCCAAAAACCTGACTAGAAAGTGAAGGACATGGCAATTCCCTTCACCCTCCTGCCATATCACACCTCTACCAATACTCTCTTCATTTCCCTACAGTTTTTATCACCTGTTTTTAAAAAGTGATAGAACTACTGTGATTACAGAAGAAACTCATGAGACCTGCCTCTTGAATGCTGTACAGGTCCAGAACTGAAATCT